AGTATAGGAGAAAAAAGCAAATTACATGCTTCAAGAAAATGTGATTTTTTTAGAAGAACATTACAACCCCAGCTGGTTGTGGACTATATTTTCTATTAAATAAAGACATCTACTATATTGACAAAGTTCCTTTTAAATAACAGAATAATCAGACATATAATTGTTATAATATGTCATTATGAAGGAACCAAGAAATGTTTTTGAAGTATTAATATTTGTAGTTTCCCTGTAAATCAATTAGGCGTTAAGCAATCCATGGACATGAAATATGTTGAAATAAATAGTTCTGATGGTTTTCCTCTGTGAACATTTAAACCTCTGTGAACATTCAATTGGGCCCCACTAGGCACCTCAAAACGGGAAACCAAATAGTACTATTCTGAATGCTAATAATACTTTTAATATAAGATTATAGTAATAGAATCTTGCAAATCTGAATATACTTCCCCCTTCCTTCGTTTTGCCTTTGGAAGGGTTCTGTCTGAGATTTACATTTCTTTTATCTGACTAGTATTTTATTTGGGGCTCCCCTTCTGTTCCTCAAGGTTATTTTTTCCTGCACATTACAGGATATCTCTTGAAGGTTAAAGTATAACAAGCCAAGTTTCATTCCTCAGTTTGTTAATTTTTAACTGCTTGGTCTATGACAGGTATAGTCAACCCCCACTTGACAGAAATACTAAGCCTAGGCATGACCAAAGAAATTAACCACCAATCCATAAAGCTTCACTTAAAAATAGCATTGGCCATCGGGATTTTGGACTGCCCAGAATGAGCCATTCTGCCTAGCAGAATGAGCACCAACACTTGGAGCAGTCATAGCAGACTAGCAAAGGGATGTGTATGAACTTTTGACTTCAGGAGCACCTCGTACTTTCCTTCGGGGAATAAATATTGTATGGTTTGTATTGGCCATGTAATAACTTTTATTTCTATATTCAGATATGAGCTTTAAAGCTTTTTGTCTGTTAGACACTGCTTTGTAAAACATATTCTAGGAATTCATAGAAATAGGATTGAAAGAGATCAAGGTGTAAAGAAAAATTATACATGGCAATGGCATGGAAAAATTTGGCCGAGATAAGATTTTCTCCTTGTTTTAAGCTACAAGACCCAGGGTTCTTTTAGGCCACAGGAGGAGGAGTTATTCAGTGAAACTGATCAAAAGGAGATTTAGAACAGACAAACAACAAAACATCTTTACATTTTATTTGATTCTCCATGCTGGACCAAGAAATAATATGGAATGTCACAGCAAAATGCTTGCAGCTTCCATGGCCTGGAGATCAGTCACCACCGCCCCTTTTTCCTCTTGGCTTGTTAACGAGATTGACAAAAGCTGTTGAAAAATCTAAAAGGTTATATAGTTTGTGCTTGCATAATTAAAAATATTAAGGTAACATGATTCTACAAGTTTTGTAAAGTAAGTGTTCTAAAATTACTCCCTTTAGTTATCCACTGAACTGACATCAAAATTTAAAATTTTATTGAATGAAGGAATCAGCATGGAAAACAGATTTAAAATATCTGCATATTTTAACTGTTAGGAACGTGTGTGTGTGTGTGTGTGTGTGTGTGT